AGAATAACATGAAGATGAACACCATTTCGATTTGTTTTTTGTTCTTCAATTTTCTTTGCATTTGTCAGTGGCGTCGAATGTTGAATATTAACGTTGAAACGTTTCGCAATGTTTTTATTGTACCAACCAGGCCGTTCAAATACGAAAATAATGTAGTAGACAACGTATGTGCTGGTGTAAGACATCTTTTCAATCATAGGTGGTAAGGATTTATCAAGACGAAAACTAAACGGCCAACTGTAGTTGTGAAATGTTGTAAGAAGATCTTTTGAATCACTGGCTGACCGTAACATGAGTCGTTCATTTAAGAAATCATACGTGCGACGTGATGTCTTCGCAAAAAAATCGTAGTAAGAAACCTTACCGAACAGTTCAACGCTGACATTCGTTATATTCCACTCCGGATGTTCACTATGGACATATTCGACTGTGCCAGCAATGATACCGCCAGCCCAAAATGTAGCATTCTGTTGTTCAGCAAAATGATATTTGGCATCGAATATGGAAAACTCACTGCTAATTGAGCTTAAGAACATCAACATTAGAAACAAATATCGTTGCGTTGCACGACTCATAGTGAAATACAAATAAAAGAATCAAAAATGACTCGTTTTTTATTCTTACTTTTTGACATTAAACGAGAAGTGCCAAATGTCGATATTCTTCGATCAACTATGAAAAGGTTGCCAAAGTAAAGAACACATAAATTGAAAATGTCGATAATAAAGAAAAAGGTGAACTAATGTGGGTTGTCATTTTCATGCAACTTTTTTTACCTAGTCAAACTTTATTTTGAAAAAAAGCGCATATAAACACACGATGATATGCAAGTGGATATGAGTGTCGGTGAATGTATATTTTCATCTATCCACACCCATACCCTGATAAATATAGTCCTCATAATAATCCATGTTTACATGTTCATTATTCTCTTGAAAGACCTAGTGTATTTCAAAAGCTACTAGCACGAAAATAAATGACATAAGGAAATGCTACACATAAAAAACATGAAGAAGTATGAATAAATACTGAAGTCTAGAAAAATAATTAATTGATCCACCAAGTGATCCATAATCACCAATATACAAAGAACAAAAAGTCAGTTATACTCTTTCTTTTTTCTCTTGTTGATTAAAATAAACGATAATTTTTCGACGAAGATATAAACATAAGACTTGAAATAAGTTTGTCTTTAACTATTTCTCTTCATCATAAGTCAATAACTAATTTAAGATGATTCATTCGACACTTGAATTTTACAAAATCCAATCGATTGATTTGATCAAATATTAGTATTCTTCAAAACTACTTTCAGTGTTTGTATCATTATGTATTTAATTATATTAAAAGAGAAAAATCTTTACAATATTAGCATTACTAATTGTTGTTATGTTTTTTTCAATGACATTATTATGTTGACTAATTCAATAAAGAGAAAAAACAAAACACATACTCATCTATGACCCAAATTGCATTTTTTGTCTTTAGGTAAATATCATCACGATAATCTAAGAACATTAAGCTTCGTCTTAATACTTAAAAGAAATAGCATGATTTAAATAAAATATACATCTGACTAATTTTTAAAAGGTACATGCGAAGTAAATATTCATCGGCAAAAAAATAAGATCATATATAGAATAAATGAAACAATTAAATCTCTGATAACAACGATTTGAATTAATATAAAAAACAAACCATGTGGTTAACTACTATCTTTTATGTACTCGTATTGTTATTAGTAATCGAAAAGAGTCAAGGAATTGCAAGTCCTATTCAGCCATATACTAGCTACAAATATTCAATTGAACTTCAAAATAATGTAGCTGATCTTTGGTGGACAGTAGATGAAACAAAACAAGAAATTACGTTTGAATTACACATAAAAACAACGGGATGGATTGCTTTGGGCATTAGTCCAGGTAAATTATTTTCTTAAAGTAGATATCAATCATTATTATTATGTCGTATTTAGCTGGTGGAATGAAAGGTGCTGATATTGGACTTGGATGGATTGATCAATCAGGTCAAGTTCATTTTCAAGTATATAATCATAATCATCGTTTTGGTATCTAATCATAATTTCATCTATTTGTCAATTCTTAGGATCGACATGCATATAATAATTCACGACCAGTCGTTGATACTACAACAAGTGATTGGTTTGCACTTCAAGGTCGTGAACAAAATGGTTGGACAGTAATTCAATTTAAACGTTTACTTGATACTTGTGATACAATGGATGTTCCAATCAAGTCCGGTACACATATTCTTATTTTTGCTTATGGTCTTGAAGATCCTGATATGTCATCACCAGATGGTATGATTTACTATCATGATAATCGACGAGGTTCACGTATAATTCCACTACGATCGTATGGTAATCCATCACCTGATGAAAAGTTTGCTGGACTTGATTATTTCGACTTCCGATTGAAAGATGTTCGTACTTTTATTATTATTGAATTTTAGTTCTATTTCATATTTCAGTATATTTTACCATCAAATGATACTACATATCATTGTAAAGTCTACAAAATACCAGCAAGTCTAAAAGAACGAAGACATGCAATTGCTGTATGATTGTTTTAAATTTTTTGTTTACATTTATAATGATTTACTATTTTAGCATAAGACAATAATTGATCCAGCTAATGTAGATCTTGTTCATCATTTATTGATGTTTGAATGTAATCCTACAGTTGTATTTGATGATAATAATTTACCAGATGGTGAGTGTGATGACATTTATAGACAAATTCAGGAATGTGCTGGCAATATTGCCACTGGATGGGGTGTTGGTGGTGAAAGTGTAAATTTTTATTATTAACTTCATAGTAGAAATAATTATGTTTCTTTTTTTAATAGATTGTAGAATTTCCAGAGATTGCTGGTTATCCAGTTGGAGGTGATTTTGAAATCAAATATTATATGGTACAAATGCATTATGATAATCCAAAGAAAATGTCAAGTACAAAATCTTATCCATTATATATTAAGACATTGAAATATTTTGAATTTTATTTAGATCGTCGTGATAGTTCTGGTATTCGATTCTATCTTGGAAATGAACTTCGTCAACATGATCTCGGTTATCTCACACTTGGAACAGATTCAAATGCTGTTGGTATTGCGATTCCACCGGGTGCTAATCGATTTATTCTTGATTCATATTGTCCAGCAAGTGCTACAAATGTATAATATAAAAATTTATTTTCTCTATAAAATTCTATTGATCTATCTTATAGCAATTTCCTAAATCAGGAATAACAGTTACGACCGCTTTTCCACATACACATTTGCAAGGTAAAATAAAAATATCTTATTTATACAATAATGTTTTAATTATATTTATTAAAGGTACTAGTGTATGGACTAAGATAATTCGTGATAAAAAAGCTGTGGATTATTTATTCAATGGTGAATCATATGATTTTAATTATCAATTTGAAAATCGTCTTCCAAAACCAGTTCAATTATATCCAGTAAAATTTCTTATATCTATTCTATTATGTTCTTTTTTTTCTCATATGATAAAAATTGTTATAGGGAGATGAATTTGCTACTCGATGTATTTACAATACAATGAATAAAGACGAAATAACTCTAGTAAAATAATTTTTTAAAAATAGTTTTCTTTTATAAATCGAAATATTATCTAGGGTGGTGAAAGAACAAAAGATGAAATGTGTTTACATATGTTTACTTATTATCCTCGAATGAATCATTTCTATGGTTGTATGAACACTAATTCTGAGAAAGCATGGAAGCAAATAATGAATGTTACTGAGTAAATATATTTGTATATGAATTTTCCTTAATTGAAAATATTTTTTTCTTTTCTAATTAAAGTCCATTGGAGGACTATATGAAATTTCAACAATTGTTAAAAGATTTAAAATGGACACCAGAATCTATAAACAAATGGCAAGAATTTTATGATAATGCTCCACGTCTTCTTATTGGTGGTCGTGCAGGCAATTATACTTTGGAAGAACTACCAAAATTACCAGAATATATTGATTTAAAATCAGAAATATGCAAAAAAGTCATTTCAAGCAAAGGTATCCATCAAACGTCATTTGTTTCATTAACAATTATTTTGTTTTTAATTACGTTAACAAAAAACTTTTTTTAAAAACAATAAACATTGTTAAATAAGGGTGTGGGTGTGGGTATCAGTGAATCTATATTTTTATCTACCCACACCCACACCCACACCCCGCCAACCTCAATATAATCGGTTTATGTTTGATTTATTGGAAAAAGTGATCGTGCTTGTCTGTAAAGAGCTTCTAGATTCTGAATCAGGGATATGAGCTCGACGTTTGGCGAAAGTTTCATCCAATTGGTACTTGTCATCAAATAATGCATTTTTCGTCAAAGAACACAATATTTGATTATTGATTTATCAACAAGCAAATAAATTAAAAGTCATCTGATTTTTAGAATTTATATGTAGAACCTATCTCTTTGAAAAGCCAAATATAAACTTTATCTAGGCTTTTGTTATGAATAATTAATGAACTATGTAGAATAATTCAAGGAAAAGAAACTAAATGATGAATACAAACATTCTTCGAGTTTTACGAGGGCGGACTAGTCTGCAAAGCCTGTCTTCACAGGGATGGAAGATACTCAGAAAAATTATCCTCAGGAATCGGTGAGGTGGATTGGTGAACGTCGCAGAACGGAATCCGCGGGCCATCAAAAATTGATGCCTCACACACTTCTGTTATTGACCACCATCTAATAGTGATAAACGTAATAATGTAAATATGCAATAAGTTGTCTAAAGAAAGGTAAAAACTAAAAGTCACTGTTTTTATTAATTGTTCAGTTTATAACTGATCCAGTACAATACAGTTCTTCTCTCGTACAGAAGAGATTATCCATTTTGAAAGTTTGCTTAAGCGCCAATGGTAACCAGTGCATAAGTTGAACTATTGGAATTCGCAGAAAGCCAGAATGTGACAGAGTATATATTGTTCGGTACAACGGCAAAGGATTGACTCAAATAGTCCATGAAACCTACTGATCCATCCGCATAAGAATAGGAACCATTATGAGGATCCATCGAACTAACGGCACCGGAATAAGATGCATTGGCAGGATTACAATATGTCCATCCTGAAAGAGTACCCAGTTCGAAATTACCGTTCGATAAGAGCTGAATTCCTGAACTGTTAGTTACGGAAACATCATCCACAAACAAAAATTCTGGATCATCACGCAGTGCGAACATAAGTTTAGCCGAGGAAATGTTGGGTGCCGTATAATTGAACGAATACATCGTCCAAGGAAGAATTGAGGTTACATTCAAATAAAGAAGTTGTGATACGTACGTTAAACTCCCAGTGCAAATATTGCTGGTAATAGTCGTAGTACTGATTGAAGTCGTATTAATGGAAGTTATGGTTGCTGTTGTGGTCAGAGGCGTAGACGTTTGACCAGTTGTGTTGGTAGTCGCAGACGTTTGGCTAGTTGTGCTGATAGTCATAGACGTTCGGTTAGTTGTACTGGTAGTCTTTGTTAATGTTGTTGTCGCTAAAACATATTATGATTAATAAGACGCAAACTTCAACGAAAACAGAACACCATACTTATTGTAACGGTGGATTTTTGATTCATTGTTACTAATATAACAATCAATGTTGCAAGACCGGAAAGAAGCAATGCCAAAAGAAGACTTGTTATCAAACAACAGCAAGGTGACCAAAAAGAACAACATCTACCGAACAATTTTTGATGACGTCGTTGATTGCTGTTTTGTTGCTCATAGTCATCTAGAACGGAACAGCGTAGTCTACGACTGGTTTTGTCAAGTTTAGATAACGGGACAACTTTTTGTGGTATTTTTCTTGTTGTATGAAAATTGTTCTGAACCTCCAGTCGTTGCGCTGACGAAGTTATATCACTGTCTTCGTCGGTACTATTTGCAGGTACCACTTTCTACAATAAAAAAAAGTTATGAGTATATATACCGTTAATTTTTTATAGTCGAACTTGAGATGGATTTGCACACTGTAAAACTGGTTTGGTAGATTTTTTATCCTACGAAGAAAAATATTCGATATAGACAGAAATAAGTTAACATTACCTCGATTAGTTTGGACTTTGGTAAAATCGACAATTGTGTCTTGAAACGTGGTGAGAATTTCGGTGAATCGGTTGCAAGATTGATGTAATTTTGCGTTCCTATATTGTTGGCAAAAACACTGCTCGGAGCAAAGCTGTCACCCATAACCTGATGATGTGGATTGATGGCACTCGACTCTGGTTTTTGTTCGAGAATGGGCGCTATTGCTACGGTTGCTGTTTTTCTCATCATTTTTTTCTTCAGTGCAGTAACTGGTAAAGAAGAAACAGCCATTTTCAACGGTACCGAGTCCATTTGTTTACTTGTTAAGTCTTGCTCATATGTTGCTTGTTTGGAATGAAACGACTCATACAAGCCTGTCGTTGTTCCTACCTGTTAAAATTATGAAAATCAGAGAGGTTCAATATAGTACTTTTTCCACTAGCCATGATCAATTAAAAATATTTTTTATTATACATTATTTAGAAACAAAAGTTTGATACAACACTTGAAACATTGACAAGATATAACGGAAATCAAAGGGTAAATTGTTATGTTTATCTTAGATTTGATTAGAGTTAACTTACATGGTTAGACTGTTTTCGACGAATAGTACGTCGTTTTGGTTTGATCCGTGTTACATGTATTTTAGAATTCTGCATTTCTCTAATGCTTTCAAAGATATTGCGACGTTATTTGAAATAAATACAATCAATACGTTTATTTTCATCGATGAAAATATTAGCATATATATATATGTACAATGGCATAAGCTGAATTAATACTTGCACGACATAATTATACAATGTATACTTTGTTATGAGGTTTCGCATTGTTGTTATAGTCGTCTCATCGAAAAGATTGAATGCACTTTTATACAATGCCCTTATTCTTTTATTGTATTGTGCATTCAGATATATTTCTCAACATAATCAGCACGAAGCAACCATATAATTAAAATTTTCAGGTTTCATAGCAGCAAAAAAAATCTTTCTGCGACATCAGAAGACAAATGTAATTTAATGATGTTTATCCTACCAAGTCAAAAGCGCAATAATGACAACTATATTTCATTCTCGTTAGTGGTATGAAGATGTGGGTGCGGATGTATATGTTATAATCATCTCTCGTCCACCTACACCCATTCTGAGTTAAAATAAAATAAAACAAACAAAAAACCCTTTGAAACAATACTATCTTCACATCTTACCATCTGCGATGGTGATGATGATGATACTACACTGTAGTCGAATGTAGACGAAATTTCTTGTGGTTATTTCATTTAACTAGTATATAATATAAAATGAAATTCATCATATTAAACATGAGGATATATTTTCATTGATTTTTTTTTCTTACACAATACATTACAGAACGCAAAGAAAATATACAGAATAATGGGAGAACGTTGTTTACATCAATTACACACTATACCTGATCGAATGATCAAATATAATGATGAGTAATATACATTTTTTTGTCAGTTAACGTTATACATCGCTTCATCGATTCTTTCCTCGCAAAATCTTATTGCATCACGTATATTTAAGATTAATATTTCGAAAAATACAGTCATTCATTATTTTTTATATTTAGCGATGGCGAAGTGTATATTTTTTCTTTTACTCAGAGTAATCCCGTCAATAGCTGGTTTTGATTTTTGTTTCAAAATATTTGCACCTGATCAAATTCGTTTGGCGTCGGCTGGTGACACTGGTGTAAATGTCGGATGGCACATACGTACTTCTCTATTGGATTTTTCAGATCCTCTTACAAATCCGATTGTCATGTTTGATACTTCACCTACAAAACTTACATCTAAATCAGTTTACATAAAATCAAGTTCTTATGAAAGAAATATTGGATTTGGAGTGTCTTGGTTTTACAGTGTTGAACTCCAAGGTCTTAAACCATCCACTATGTATTACTATCAGATTGCTGGATCTGGTTGCGTTTTGTCATCATCTATTCTCAATTTTACATCAGCCCCATTGCTCGGCGATCGAAGTCGACCAGTGCGTATTGCTACCTATGGTGACTTAGGTGTAGATGGTTTAATAGGAACTTTCGTTAATGGTCCGTGTCTTTTCGAACAAGCTTTAAATGCTTTACAGAAGAAACTATCAGAAATAGATTTTTTCTTACATCATGGTGATATTTGTTATGCAGATGATACTCCTGTACTTGTTCCTTTGAAAACATATGAACAAGCTATGGATTATTGTCAAGCAGCTATGT